GCGGTGGAATAATAGTGTACAAGACAAAATCAAGTATAAGAAGAACTGTTTTAAAGCCATACATTTGTGTAACAATGAGGAAAATTGGGAGAGGTATCGTATGGCTAAGAAGGAAACTAAGAGAGCTGTGGGTGAAGCTCGTTCTAAAGCTTTTGAAGAATTTTATAAGAACCTTGAGACGAAGGAAGGAGAGCAAAATATTTATAAGATTGCCAAGAGTAGGGAAAGAAAATCAAGAGATCTAGAACAGGTAAGGTGTATTGAGGATGAAAAGGGAAGAATTTTAATTACAGATGATGAAATTAAAAATAGATGGGAGACTTACTTTTCTAAACTTTTCAATGATGGAAAGGATTCATCTAGTAACTTGGAGGATTTAGTAACTGGTGAAGGAGAACAAAATTTGTCATTTTATCGAAAAATACGTGATAAGGAGGTAAAGGAAGCTCTTAAGAAAATGGCAAATGGTAGAGCCAACGGACCTGATTGTATATCTATCTAAGCGTGGAAATGTTTAGGTGAAGAAGAGGTGAGATGGTTAACTAAGTTATTTAATGTGATTTTACGGTCTAAGAAAATGCCTGATGAGTGGAGGAAAAGTACATTAATTCTTATTTATAAAAATAAAAGGGATATTCAGAATTGTACTAACTATAGAGGGATTAAACTCATGAGCCACACAATGAAATTGTGGGAGAAAGTAATTGAGCATAGGTTGAGATTGGAGACAAGTATTTCTGAGAATCAATTTGGTTTTATGCCAGGTAGATCAACTACAGAGGCGATTTATCTACTAAGGGGATTAATGGAAAAATATCGTTGTAAAGACAAAAATCTACACATGGTTTTTATTGATTTGGAAAAAGCTTATGACCGTATACCAAGAAAAGTGCTTTGGAAAGCGTTGGAAAAAAAGGGAGTACGGATTGCTTATATTAAAGCCATACAAGATATGTATGAGGGGGTAAAAACTAGTATAAGAACACTTAGTGGTCAAACAAAGAATTTTCCTATAAAGATTGGACTACATCAGGGATCATCTCTGAGTCCTTATTTGTTCAACTTGATTTTAAATGTTTTGACGGAACATATTCAAGAGGAAATCCTGAAATATATGCTCTTCGCGGATGATATAGTTCTTATAGCAGAGACAAGAGAAGAGGTTAATTGCAAACTTGAGTTATGAAGGAGGACATTGGAGTCGAAAGGTTTTCGTCTGAGTAAAAGTAAGACGAAATATTTATATTGTAAATTTGGTAAAGGACTATTCGACAATAATTTGGAAGTGAAATTGGGAGATCAAATTATATCTCAAGTGGAAAAGTTTAGATATTTGGGAGCCATTATTCAAAATGATAGCGAAATCAATGGAGATATTTCACATAGAATTCAAGATGGGTGGTTTAATTGGAGAAAAGCTAAAAAAGTTATTTGTGACCGTAAGGTGCCTAATAAACTTAAAGGAAAGTTTTATCGCACTGCTATCAGACCGGCAATGTTATATAGTAGTGAATGCTGGGCTCTAACGGGACAGCAAGAGCATAAAGTTGGAGTAGCAGAGATGAGAATGTTACGATGGATGTGCAGACATACACGTAAAGATAAAATTCGAAATGAGCACGTACGCGAAAAAGTGAGGGTGGCACCTATTGAGGAAAAAATGATAGAAAATCGGTTGAGATGGTTTGGGCATGTACAAAGAAGAGCAAGGGAGACACCAGTGAGAAGAGTGGAACATATAACTTTGAGTCCGATTAAGAGAGATAGAGGAAGGCCTAAGAGAACACTCTTTGGAGTTGTTGAGCGCGATCTCTTGATTAATAATATTCTTAAAAGCTTGATAAATGATAGAGCACAATGGCGTCTTGCAATCCATGTAGCCGACCCCACCTAGTGGGATAAAGGCTTGTTGTTGTTGTTGTTGTTGTAAGTTTATTTGGGTACCTTTTAATCACAGATAACTCTTTTACCCTTTTTTCAATTAAACCATCAAGCTTGTATTCTCTGTGCAATATCTTCATGAATTTTCCCATTATGTTAAATAATCGCTCTCAAATATCCAAACTTTTCCACTTAAGGTATAATTTACTCATCCAATTTCACTTCCAAATTACCACTCACTGACCTCTTATCAAAATTATAATATAATGTAGATATTCCATTTTATTCCTACTCAAATGAAAACCTTTTGACTCCAATGTCCTCCCTCATCACTCAAGTTTACAGTTAATCTCCTCTCTTATCTCCGCAATAAGACCTGCATCATCCATGAAAAACATGCATTTAGAGAAAAGTTTAAAAATTAAAATTTTAAACTCCCTTGGCATCTAGTTGCAATATTTTAAAAATTAAAATTCCCTTCCTCTTCAACTTCTTCCAAGCTAGGCCAAAACCATACTCAAGGAACTAAAACCTAGATTCAGTTTTCTTCTACAAGGGAGAGGGAAAACACAATCTCAAGAAATCAAGAAATCTTATCTAAAAAAGCTTACGTATGATCTAAACTAATAGGAAAAAATGCAATCCATTAATAAAACCTGGAAGACCCATCTTTTCAAACACTAATAGATGAATCCCAATGGATTTCAGTTGAGATTTTCAATAAAACTTAATCAGCCACCAGTTTACACACAACAACAACAACAACAACAACAAGCCTTTATCCCACTAGGTGGGGTCGGCTACATGGATTGCAAGACGCCATTGTGCTCTATCATTTATTAAGCTTTTAGAAATATTATTAATTAAGAGATCACGTTCAACAACTTCCAAGAGTGTTCTCTTAAGCCTTCCTCTACCTCTCTTAGTCGGACTCAAAGTTATATGTTCCACTCTTCTCACTGGTGCCTCCCTTGGTCTTCTTTGTACATACCCAAACCATCTCAACCGATTTTCTACCATTTTTTCCTCAATAGGTGCCACCCTCACTTTTTCACGTATGTGCTCATTTCGAATTTTATCTTTACGTGTATGTCCGCACATCCATCGTAACATTCTCATCTCTGCTACTCCAACTTTATGCTCTTGCTGTCCCGTTAGATCCCAGCATTCACTACTATATAACATTGCCGGTCTGATAGCAGTACGATAAAACTTTCCTTTAAGTTTATTAGGCACCTTACGGTCACAAATAACTCCTTTAGCTTTTCTCCAATTAAACCACCCAGCTTGAATTCTATGTGAAATATCTCCACTGATTTCGCCATCATTTTGAATAATGGCTCCCAACTATCTAAACTTTTCCACTTGAGGAAAAGAGGAGGACAAAAACAAGCTCACATATTCAGAAACTAATTTGGAATTCAAAATCACAGCAACAAGCTTAGTGAGTTGCAAATATAGAGGAAAAGATGAACAGGCTTACAAATTTCTAGATCACTACTGCAAAACTCATGGTTGAGGGGAAGAATGAACCCGGAACCCAATCCTCATCAATTCATTCACAGCTTATGAACAATCATTTGCCTACCTAAGAAATCCTTCACCTTGTGATCCTATATATTCATATCCTCCCCAAGCAATTTGAAGATTCAATTCATATTCTTCGAGATTCAATCCTTTCACCTTCACCTTCAAAAGTGGTCACATCCCTAAACAAAGCCGCACTTGTTCAATAAATCTAGCAAAGAAATGGGTCATGGGTTTAGATCTATTAGGTCATTGATTTTTTAAGGCATTTGACAGTGCTTGATGTGAGTTGAGGGGTTTGTTTTTGGAGGTGAAGGAAGGTGAATCGCAATGGAGGTTGGAGCATCGAAATTGTGTTGAATCCCACCCAAAGTCTTCCCACCATCTCCCCTAACATCACCTATCGCCTCTCACACTATGGCTTCATGGCTAGAGGAAGTAGGAAGAAGAAGACAAGGAAGGGGAAGGGGGACTGGCTTGATCAAAATTGGAGAAGAGCAAAGGAAGGAGACAGACAGATGGTGAAGACAATGATCAAGGAATTGATTTTTGATTGAATCAATGAAGTCTATGCTCTGGATCTGTTTTTGTTTTAAAAAATATATATAATTTTTAAAATACTCTAGCTAGGTACCAACGTGGCAATTTAGGGTCAATCTAACAGTCAAACAATTGGTTCTGTTAGTTCAGGGAAAAATTCTTTGATTTAGAAAAACACTGGGGTGAAATTGCGCCTTTAAATACATAAGGATACCAATTGCACCTCTTTGAAAACATCCAATGCAGATTGTATAAACCAAATCTTTGAACTCTTCTACCTAGAGTAAATACTCCTAAGTATTCCATCACAAGGGTTCTTTGCTCAAAATGTTTGGCTATACTACAACGTAGAAAAGGAGCAATCTCCAAACAAGATCATTGATTTAACCAGTCAGCAAACAGACTATCTAACCCATAAACTACAAGAGTTTCCTACTTCTACTAGGAATTCATAGAAATAAGCAAGCTTAAAAGCCCATATACATTCAAATATAACAACAATCTTGCGTAAGACTTCTCATCCTCCTTTGTGTACTTCTATTTCCCAACAAGTTTTCATATTGAAATATGAATAGTAAAGAAAATGAAGTCCCAGCAAAATTTTAGTATCTTTCTTCATGCTTTTTTCAGTTATACTCAAAATACATGAATGGTCATATCATTTAAACAAGGTTAAAGAAACTTATATATCCACAATAATATGCCATACAAACTCTTACCTCAGTGCTCTTTGGCAAACAGCAACCCCATGAAAACACGTTAAAGAGCATGACATGTTAAAGAGCATGGCTGAGTTAACCACATAATACATATTTTAGTCATATAATGAATATAACCAAGCAAGTTTCCATGTGCCCCAAAATGACTCTCAAGTTCAGTAACCTTGACTTAATTAATAGTACTGCTCATTATATATGGAAAAGAGAACTACCATCCACCTATTTTGCTTTCATTGCACAAAAAATAAGCAAACAAATCTAAGGGGAAGAATTAAATCCTAGACCAAAAGAGACAAGGAGAACTACTTAGTACTTACTAATAGCCAAAAGTACCTTTTCAAATGTGCCAAGTGTCAAAAAGATATTTCCACTTTCAACCAAAGCGAAGACTCGAGCGTTATCCAATTCTAGGGCACGGCCGTAAGACTGATGGACAATCTCATAAATATTTAGGCAGTTGATAGACCATTTATTGTGATAACAGAAGCAAGTCAAGCACAACATACCTTAACAGCTGCAGTAAACCTGCCTAGTCGTTGATAAGCAAGACCCAAAGCCTAGCATAACTTGAAATGCTTATTAGAAACATAAATCATAGTGACAACAGGAAAATCTAATAGAAGATCAAAGAGATGAAATTACTTCCCACAAATCAGCACATGTAGGATAGCCTCGTAGGGCATACTGCAGACTCTGTACAGCCTCGATCCATTTCTTTTGATAGACCTGTTAAATTTAAAATAACTATATAAAATGATGTTACAATTTACAAACCTTTAATAAATTGAAGAAATACACTCGCCCTGCTCCATACATCTCGCTTGCTCTCATGTAAAACGTTGTTGGTACAACACCTTGTTTACTTTTAAGAGATCGGCTAAAATAGAATTTAGGGATGCTATTTGTTAGTATAGAAAGAGATGAAGAGAGAAGAAGAGAGATAGGTAGATAAGAAGGAGAGAACAGAGGGAAGTTCAGATGAGACATTCTAAATAGTACGTTTTATTAAAATGAGTTCAACAACAACACTGTGTATCTGGACTTGGGTATTTATAGGGCTGGACTATTAGACTAAATAATAGTAACAGTACCGACCCATAGAAATAACATTTATACCCCTGCCCTAACTAATTCCTATAGCTCCTAATATTATCACATCAATACTCCCCTCCCCAACATCCTTGCCCTCAAGGATCAAAAAGAAGAAAATTTGGAAACTATTTTTGAAATTTGAACTGAGACAGCCATGTAGCTTCCTCAACTGACAAGCCTTTCCACTGAACTAACACTTTAGTAATAATCCTTCCTTTCTTCCTTCCCACTCGTTTGTTCAATATTTTCTCAAGACATAACATTTATGGGATTTCTGGCCATTCATCAGGCGGATGTCTCTGCTTCACTGATGGGTCAAAGCATAACTTGAGGAGAGAAACATGAAAAGTGGAATGAATTCTGGAATTAGGAGGTAATTCCAGTCTGTAAGCAACCTTCCCAATCCTCTTGAGCACTTTATAAGGCCCAAAATACCTTGGTGCTAGTTTTTTAGTGCTTCTAAAGGTAATAGAGATTTGTCCATAAGGCTGTAATTTCAAAAACACCCATTGACTTTCTTCAAACTCTCGACCAGATCTTTTCAAATCAGCCCTTTGCTTCATTAAATTCGCTACCCTATGCAAATGATGCCTTAATACTCCAATCATGCATTCCCTTGCCTCAAAACTCCTGTCCACAGCTTCAACAATTGCTGATCTAGGCAAATAAGGAACATATAGAGGAGGTTTCTGCCCATAAAGTAATTCATAGGGAGTAGCCTTGATAGAAGTATGAAAACTAGCATTATACCACCATTCAGCAAGTGGTAACCATTTACTCCATTCTTTAGGATTCTCCCAACACACACAACATCGATAAGTTTCCAAACATCGATTGAGCAGCTCGGATTTACCATCAGTTTGAGGATGGTAGGAAGAAGTAAGCTTTTGCTCCACTCTAATCACCTTGAGGAACTCCTTCCAAAAATTACTAATAAACACTGGATCCCTATAACTTATCACTTCAACCAGGGCTCCATGCATTCTATATATATTATCCAATAATGCTTGAGCTAACGTAGAAGCTGAAAATGGGTGAGATAGGGCCATAAAATGGGCATCCTTGCTCATTCTATCCACTACAACCCAAATGACTTCTTTCCCACCTGATTTAGGAAGCCTATCAATAAAATCCATAGTAACACTCTTCCACACCTTACTCGAAATTGGTAGTGGCTATAACAACCCCAGACTTGCTACTGTCTCATACTTACAGCAGGCACAAGTATCACAATTTTTGACAAAATCCTGCACATCTTGTAGCATTTTCTTTCACCAAAATAACCCTTTGATTTTCTAATATGTGGCTTGTATTCCAGAGTGTCCCCCTTGAGCACTGGCGTGCAACCATTCTAGAATAAATTGCCTCAAAGCTGGACTTTTCCCTACCACCAGCTTCCCATTTCTTCTAAGGAATTTGCCATCCCAAGAATAGGCTTTAATACTGCCATTTTGTCTCTGTAACTCAAAAATAAGGCCCTTGCGATCTGGATCCAACTCCCAACTCTCCTCAAGCTTGTGTAATAATTCTGGAGATGATGCATCTAAAGTCATCTGACGTAATTGAGGTTGTGAGAGTCGAGAAAGAGCATCTATAGTTGTGTTATCATTCCCCTTTTTATAATGAATTTCATAGTGATACCCCATTAACTTTGTATCCCAATACATCTGAATAGGGGGTCTTCAACTTCTGTCCCAACAAAAATCGTAGGCTTTGCTGATCTATTTTGATAATAAACCTCCTTCATTCAAGGTATTGATGCCAATGCTCAATAGCTAGGACAACTGCCAATAATTCCTCCTCATAAACTGCAAGCTGGAGCTCTTTGGGGCCCAAAGCCTTGCTGGAAAATGCAATGGGTTGATTTCCTTAGGAGCAGGACAACCCCAATTCCCTTTCTACAAGCATCCGTTTCCACTACAAACTCTTTATTGAAATCTGGGAGAGATAAAACAAGTGTCAAAACAAGTATTTATTTCATCTTCTTGAATGTGACAGCAGTTTCTTCATGCCACTTGAATGCATTTTTCTTTAAAAGGTTCATCAAGGGTTTGATTATTTGTCCATACCCTTTGATAAACCTTCTATAGTACCCGGCAAGGCCTAAAAAGGACCTCAATTGTTTAATAGTAGTTGGTGTAGGCCAATCTACCACTACTTTGAATTTTCTAAGGGTCAGTAGCCACCACTCCATTACTAATAACATGCCCTGAGTATTCCACCTTATTGTTGGCAAATGTACACTTGCTCCTCTTGATGAAATAATGATATTTCTGCAAAATTTCAAACACCAATCTTAGATGCTGAACATGCAGATTTAAATTTGAGCTATAAATTAAAATGTCATCAAAGAAAACAAGAACAAAGTGGCACAAGTAAGGTCTGAAAATAGAGTTCATTGCTCCCTGAAATGTTGCTAGAGCATTGGTTAAGCCAAATGGCATAATTAACCACTCATAATGACCTGAGTGAGACCGAAAGGCTGTTTTGAATGTGTCTTGAAGCTCCATTCGGATTTGATGGTATCCCGCTCTCAAATCTAGCTTTGTCAACCATCTAGCTTCCCTCAATTCATCCAATAATTCTTCCACAAGTGGAATAGGATATCTATTTTTGATTGTCTTCTTAGTAAGCCCACGGTAGTTGATACACATGCACCGTGAGCCATCCTTCTTTTTTACCAACACAATAGGTGCAGCAAAAGGGGAGCTACTCTCTTGTAACACTCCTGTAGCTAGCATCTCTCCCAACATTTTCTCAATAAGGTCCTTTTACGCAAAAGAATAACGATAAGGCTTGAGATTAATAGAATCTGTCCCTTCTTGTAAAAGAATAGGGTGGTTATGACCCTTCCTAAAAGGGGGTAGACCTTTAGGTTCATTAAAAAGACTGTTAAATTCTTCCAAAAGGTCACCAACAGCCTTTGGAATGGTTTTTGTTGGTTGCACAGCAAGGAGACTCTGAAACTGACTATTTTCTGCTAATTGGAGTAGAAATAATTGGCACTCATCTCCATTCTTAATTTCCAACTTGCTGGAATCAACCATTTGCCATTTTGATGGAGGTTGTGCCTGCAAAACACACATTTTCCCATCATTCCAGAAATACATAGTAGCAGAAATATAATCCCAAAAAGCATAATGAAGGCTTTTAAGCCATTCCCAGCCCAACACAATATCATAAGTGCGCATGTTCATTATCCTGAGGTCACAGCCAAAGTCTTCTCCTTGCATTTTCCATTTAAATGCCTTCCAAACTCCATATATTTTCAATTTTCCAGCCCCTACAACCACGGCATCAATCCATCATCTTCTTCTTCATTCCAACCCAGCTTCTTTGCCAAGTCATAATCAAGAAAATCATGGCTGCTTCCATTATCTATGAGAATTTGGATAGGTCTCCTTCCCACATATCCTTGAAGTCTCATAGAATTCATACTAACTTCACCCTCAATGGCATGCATTGAAATTTGATGGCATTCAAGAGGAATTTCTCATTCATCAGGGTCTGTCTCATTAGGTTCCATCTCCTCTTCCTCCAGATTTTCATCCAGCTCTATTAATTGCAATTGCATCTTGCGTCTGAGTGCAATTATGGCCTATAGAAAATTTTTGATGACAGTAAAAGCAAAGGTTTTGTGCTCTGTGTTCTGCCTCCTCCTCTGGTGTTAATTTTGTGGGGATTTTAATCCCAGAAATAAATTGGTGAGAAGAAGATGAATTTTTTGGTGTGTTGGACGCTAAGCTTTGCACAACTGAGGATTCTGAGGTTGGCCGTGCTATTTTAGTTGTGTTTTGGCGAGACCCATCACGTGAGAAGCTCTATTTCGATACTGCCCAGGCATTCATAAAACGCAAAAAGGCTGTGGATGTCATGATATTGCTCTGCGATGTGTAGGATACCTTTCTTGAGCATATGTTTGCTTCTAGTGATCTTTGAAGGTGTATTTCTTGAAGTCGGGCCAAACTTCTAGCATCTCAAACAGTTGTGGGCTTAAGTAACCTCACTGGCCCAGTATATTCTTCTTGTAAACCCTCTAAATAGGTCTGCACCAGATACTCCTCAGTTAGGTCCAACTTACATACGATTTCATCAAAAGAATCATTGTAATCTCCTAAGCTCCTTGTCTGCCGTAGCCGTATCAGTTCTGCCATGGCTACTTCATAAGTAGGTCCAAATTGGTTCTTTATGGCTTTCGAGTATTCTTCCCATCCAGTCGCATGTCTCCTTCTGGTACGCATGAAGCTTTGATGCCATTGAAAGGCCTTCTCATCGAGATGAATACTAGCCATCATGACTTTCCACACATCTAGGGTGTTATCAAGTTGGAAGTACTAATCGCACTTCATGAGCCATCCAAGAACATCTCCTCTCTGAAATCTTGGAAACTCCATCTTGGTAAATCGGGTAGGAGGTTGGTATTCTCGTTCTTGTCTTGGTCGCTAAGGTCCTTCTCCAATTCTTCGCTGGTGTCCTTCTGCCTCATTAGAGTCTATCTCGTGATGAATTCGAGACTCTTCTACCGAGCGAACAAGTTCTATGATCTGGATAGTGAGCCTTTCAATCTGATTTTCAGCCATCGTGAGTCTTGCATCTGTTTCTTCAGCCATTCTTGTCTGCAGACGAGTGACAAGCATATGAGGGAGGAAGGACAGGCTCTAGATACCACTGTTAGGATAGAAAGATGAAGAAAGAAGAAGAGAGATGGGTAGACGAGAAGGAGAGAACAGAGGGAAGTTTAGATGAGACGTTCTGAATAATGCGTTTTATTAAAATGAGTTCAACAACAACACTGCGTATCTGGACTTGGGTATTTATAGGGCTGGACTATTAGACTAAATAATAGTAACAATACCGACCCATAGAAATAACATTTATACCCCTGCCCCAACTAATTCCTAGAGCTCCTAATATTTTCATATCACTATTCTTCAGGTCATGGAGGCTAACACAACATAATTCAATAAGGATCTGAAGAGGATACAGGGAAAGTTCAACAATATTTGCATGAATTATTTTCCTGCATGATAAAGATGCAGTGGCGCCTCGTCGCAAAGTGGCTCTATAACTTGTCAGGGCCTACCATAGGTTCCAACTAAGGGAGTTGATTTGTGCCCAATTTATAAACCAAAGGGAAGTTCAATTGGCACAGAAGATGTAACAGTAATTATGTCTGAATTAAATTAAGAGAGGAGAATAATTCTGAAGAAACCTGCAAGTAGCCTAGTCTGCGGAAAGCCCAGAAAGCCTTGGGTGACTTTTCAGAAGCTTCGCGGCATATTGCCACCTCCAAATTCTCTCTTCCTCCTTCGTCAAGCAAATTGCATAAAGCTTCCTGTTATGAAAAGTTCCCACGCCGGTGTACCGATGAGTCGGAATTAATTAATTCCCCCCCCCCCTCCCAAAAAAATATAAACTTAATAACTTAGAAGATACTAGCCCCTTACCCCAGAGTCAGAATCATCGGGATTGAGCGTAACAGCTCTCTGATAACACTTCAGGGCTCTCTGAGCATTGCCGGAAACGCAGCGATAATAATGGCCAAGAAATTTGAAAGCGTCACCATTCTCAGGGTTCAACTTGGCCGATATCAGAAAATGTTCAGCAGCATTTTCCTTGGTTTCCTTAGCTTCTCCTTTCTCCCACAAAAATACGCCCTGTGATCACATGTCATAGTGAGCGAATACCACCGAATTAACAGCATAATTTAGATAATTAACAGGGAAGAGAATAATTTCACACCATTTCAAGATGGAGCGAAGCATCATCTGGATGAGCATCTAAGGACTCCCGCAAGCGCCTAAAGAGGGCCTCCTCTTTATCATGATCTGCCACTTCTCCCTGAAACAATATAAAGGGAAAATCTTCTATTGAAGTCAATACACAAAGAAACAAATGCGTCCAACATGAATGATAATAGGCAGGAGATCCGGAAGAGACCCTTCTGCAAGTTTGGGAATCCATAGAGGTGTCCACCAACTGGAGGGAGAAGTCGACAAAGGTGGAGCGGGAGAAGTCGAAGTCGAACAATCAGATATGTACATGGAGAGAAAGAAAAACGAACAAAAAGCGGAAGATAAGATAATCAAACCTGGAAGGGACGGAAATGGGTGGAAGAGTTGTGTCTCGGAGAACGAGCAGCACGAATCGCAGAGGACTGAAGGACCCTACATGGAAGATTCTCTGCAATCGATTCAGACGGTTCTAGTTTTGAGGATGATGAAGATTCATCTCTAGAAACTGTAGAGGACGGCGAGTTCGTCCCCGCCATTTCCCGTGTGCATAGGCTTACACTGTCTGGCGCGGCCAACTTGGCCTGCAAAGCAGTATTTTTATAACCGACCGGCTGACCATCAACCGGTCTTTTAAAGGTTATTTGAACCGACAGTAGATTGAGAATTGAATCTAGTTTTTAAAAATTAAACTGTTTAAAAAAAATTAATTTTTATCAAATTTTTTTAAAAAATGATTAATTTTTTTAATAATTTAATATTATATTGTATCATATGACTTGTTAAGTCATAATAAACTTAAAATATTTAATTTTTTTAAGTTAAATAGCAATTTCATATGTATTTCTTATATTTAGATTATTATATATATATATATAATTTTTTTATTTAATTATTACGTCACCATTGGTTCAACCTGGTTAAACCATGTGAACCGTGAACCTCTGACTGTTCCAATTCAATGTCTGGTCTGGTTCTGAAAACATTGCTACAAAGGATCTAGCAACCAAAATCTTTTTCATTTTCTAATATCTTTCTAGGAAAAAAATATTTTTCTAGAATGTTTTTTGTGTTTAGTTCAAGGGTTTGGTCCCTTATTTGCTTAGGAAATTTCCGAATTAGTAACAAATATTCAAAAGATACCAGAAAGTGGAGGAAAAGAGGCTAACAAATATTCAAAAAAGAATTTCAAAGATTAAGACTCATTTGGTTGGAGAGAAAAAGGGGATCCCTAATTTGGGGGTGGAGGTTTCAAAGAAAATTTCCCCTCCTTTCCCTTCCAATCAAACAAGCCCTAAAGAGGGAAAAGTTCCTAACCGGGATGTGATCGTTGATGGTAATGTCATTTTCAAATTAAAATTCTAAATTCAAGTTAAAATATTCTAATCATCTTTCATAATTAACTAACATTGATTTAAAATATATTCGGAGGAGGAAACATACCCTAAGATGATGTACCAAATAGAATAATGTATGTGGAAATGAAGTCACGATGCCGAACTGGGTTTGGGTTTCACAGTGAATGCACTCTGAGGAGAAGAGGGAAAAGAAAGCCAAAGAGAGTTCTTGATGATCATGAAAAATCCAAAGAGTGGAGTGCCTATTCTTATATTGGCTATCCATATAAACTGCCCACACCAATGTTATTTCGTTTTGTTTGAGTTATTCCGTAGATTAGGAAATCGATTGTTATTATTGCTATTGTCATCGTTGTTGTTTCTTTGTCGTTCCCATTGTTATGTCGTAGAGGACACACTTTATTATTTAGTGTGGATATGAGTTATGCCATCTAATTGATCGTTATGTAAAGGAAGATGAAGGATATGCTAGTTGCTTAGTTAAGGAGAGAGTATAGGAGAAAAGTTTTATTCCCACAAGATTATGGTGAACATAAGATTAGTACATAATAGCATGTCAGTTGTACTTTGCTAAACAAATCCTTGGGTTGCATATTGTAGAAGTTTAATGAAAGTATTTTTACTATTTTGATTAACCCCTGTGTAGAGCGAATCCCACTAGTGAGTGCTATGAAACCAAGCAAAGTGTGTATTTTGTTTGAACCATTCTATGTCACTAAAACATAAGGAAGGTTGATTGATTAAAGGGTCCTAATACTCACTAGGAAGTGATGAAATTCTAAACCTAAAATTTGAAATAGATGATCTTTTGTGAAGCAATACATGAGTGAATAAGTCTCATTTTAATAGATGTGTTGGCGTTGTCAGTTCATAAGGACTTGATTGATTAAAAGGTCCTAATATTGTCAATGTTTATGAATATTTTGAGGATTAATTGAGTCAAGAGTATAAAGAAAATTATTGAGACAAACTACTTATGTGTATATTAGGCAAATGCCAATTAAGGAAAGATTAGTTGGAAATGATTAAAAGATAAGATAGCAAGTAAGTGAATGAAAAATTGTGGTATATAGGAATCAATCCATGAGAATTAATGGGTAAAGATTGATTGTTAGAGCAAAAGAAAGAATTGATAAGAACGTTTTATCATAGTTGCACAATGGAATTAAGGTAAATAACTTATGAAAATTGGGTTGAGTCATGTGGATTCATTGGCCATATCTACGCATTAAAGGTTTTGCAGTCCCAAAAAAAGGAAAAAAGAAAAAAAATGGAGAATTGTGGATTAGCCTTATTATAAACCAAATGGTAGTAATAATCATATATCTGTTGAAGTGATATGATTCTTCATGAGCCAAGAATGTTATAGATGATTTTTATAAAGCATGGCTTTAGGGAAGACCATAGTTGAATAACTAGAAGAGCGGTGAGGATCATGATAGAATCTTAGAGAATTAATTATGGAAGATAACAAGTTTTTCTTTTAAGGATTATGTGATAGGAACTTTTGTATGTATAGTATAAGGATAATTGTGAACTCTAAAGAGAAGAGGGTGAAGTTGGAATGTCAAACTCTTCACTTTATTGGATCGAGTTGAGTAGAAGGAGTATTTTGGGGCGGACTTGGTGGATGAAACAACTAAGGAGATCGAGATGATTAAGTAAAAGTTGTTGATTGCTCAAATCTACTAGAAGAGTTATGCAGATAAAAGGTAGAGACCATTTGAGTTCATGGTTGTAAAGTGCTAGGAATAGTTATATCAATCCTCATATTGTTGTCAATTTTAAAGCCACTTGCCTTGGTTCAACAACCAATGGTACTCTACAAAGGATCTATGATATTTGCTTATATGGTATGTGGAGCCCAAGTCTATAATCCAAGAAGAGAAAATAGTTTCCATTAGAAAAATATTATTATAACCATAAGAAAAACATGTGAATTCACATAATTCATAAATACCTGATAACGTCCACTTTACTTAGGACAATCCTTTGCAAAATGGCCCATCTTCTTACAGGCAAAGCATTTAACCTTCTTTAGTTCAATTTTCTTTTTGTCGCCCTTCTTTCCCTTCGTCTTGAAAGGTTATTTGTCCTTCTTTACCTTAAGGCCACTCATGCTACCCTTTTTTTGTTGTTTCTTGCCCCTTTTGGGCTTAGCATTTGAAGAACCACCTTCCTTAACAAGGTAAGCCTATCCAAATGACTTATAAGGCTCCAGATGCTTGTCCTCTAACTCCAAAGGCTTAGCCACATTGTTGAAAGTAACAATGTTCTCGTTGTGGGCTAAGTTAACTTTCATGTGACAGCTTGCACCTACTACTCATCAAATAAATCATGCCTGCATTCCTTAAATTCACGGATCATGCTGGCCATCTCCCTATGGCGCTGTTGCATAGGAGTATTCGAAGTGTCAAACTTCATAGTTAGCCTTCTCAATTTAGTAGTTGAGGTACCTCCAAACTTCTCTTTTAAGGCAGCCTATATAGCCTGGGTTGTAGAGTGCTTTTTAAATTCACACATTAAATCATCAGCCGTGGCACTTAAAAGTGTTATTCATGCAGTATTGTTATTTCATTTCCACAGTTTATTTGCCTCTTGATCTCTCTTATGCTAAGTTGAGTAACCTACCTCAGGCTCAACCATGACAACAGTCAATGGCTCAACAATATCCTATTACTTTCCAAAATGTATGACACCTTACAGTAACATATGTCTCAATTGTCCCTGTTTGACTTGTCACCTTTGTTAAGTTTAGTAATAATGTTTTTGGTTGCTATTCTTTGCTCTAATATGAAATTATCCCATATTAATAGTATTATATATTAACCAAGAACAAAGTACTTATGATAAATATATAATGTTTTATATTTGTATTATTATTTGCAAGAGTAACAACACTATTAGGTTAATGATTAGTAAGTTACATTTGTATCTCCCATCATATTGATTCCAATAATATCCCTATCATCAATACAGAATTTTACAAATATTTTTATAATCACTATATTTACTCTTAAATGACTCATCACTCAAGAGCTCTCACTCAAAAGAAGTATTTAAGGCAATAAAAGCCAATCAACATGAAAATTAATGTGCTTTACATTTACAAGATCAAAAGTCTTCAAAAAGACATAAAGTTTGGAAAAATAGAATAGTCAAAGATACATTATGTTTTTCATGGCACAGACCTAAAAAGACAATACTTTATATTTTCATATTTTCTTTGTACTCTCATTCCCTTAATGGCTCTATTTCATAGAGGATTTCCCAAATATGACTTGTTTCACTTGTTAAGTTGCACAAGTTCTTTCCTGAGTCATTTAAAAAAATTTCCCGACAACTAAGGCTTCTTCTTCTTTTGTTATCAAGCTTGAATATTTTCTTATGGTTAGGGAAACGTGATATTAACTTTTAATTTTTTTAGCATCTCTCTTAGTTATGTTTCAATCATAGAGGATGTGAAGGGTTGTTCCACTGCTTGATCTTCATCTTGAAGATCCTTGATACCCTCTGATTTGCATTTGGATCCTAACATTGTGCATACTTCTTTGGGCACTTCGAGCATATCTTCAAGTTCGTCAATAGGATCCTATTCAGGATTAAAATCCTTGCTTTGAGGTTCATACTCCTCCTCCTCCTCTTCTTTGAAGGGTTTTAGGTCAGAATCCTGACTAAAAGGTTCATAATCTAAATCATCCAGATATTCAATACTAACATAATAAATCTCTAAGCCATCGATGCTACTTAAAGCCTTTTGCTTCATATTTTCCTAGAAGAGAAATAAATATAATTTTTTAGGAATTTTTTTAAACTTTCAAAACTTATAAAATGCATTGAAAAAACTTAGAAGTAAATTCCAAATTTACCTCAATATGGGCAAATAGCATATCAAATTAAAGATCTTAAATTTAGGGAATTTTTTAAGATAAATTGCATCTCAATTGGCCTATGTGCCCTAATGTGCATCAAGAAGGTTAATGAATAAGAAACTTCTAAAAAATCAAAAATTTGAAAAATGCTAATCTCAAAGGTGGCACGTGTATGACACACGCTGTCTTCCCAACCTCTAGTAGCAACACAAGTTAGCCTAATGTGCTCCACGCATCGTGCTACTTTGAGTGGAGTCCTTCATGTGGCAATTAGGCCTTCCAGTAGGGCCCACATGCCATGTGGCCTTTTTATTAATTTTTCAAATTTGGAAAAAAAATTGTTGACTAGGTCAGGTTTGGTTAAATGTGACCTGAGGACTTAAA